CACTGTTTATTGTTGTCTACTGACACTGTTTGCTGTTGTCTCCTGACACTGTTTACTGTTGTCTCCAGACACTGTTTATTGTTGTCTCCTGACACTGTTTACTGTTCTCTCCTGACACTGTGTATTGTTGTATCCTGGCACTGTGTATTGTTGTCCCCTGACACTGTGTATTGTTGTCTCCTGACACTGTTTATTGTTGTATCCTGGCACTGTTTACTGTTCTCTCCTGACACTGTTTACTGTTGTCTCCTGACACTGTTTATTGTTGTCTCCTAACACTGTTTACTGTTATCTCCTGACACCGTTTACTGTTGTCTCCAGACACTGTTTATTGTTGTCTCGTGACACTGTTTACTGTTCTCTCCTGACACTGTTTACTGTTGTCTCCTGACACTGTGTATCGTTGTCTCCTGACACTGTTTATTGTTGTCTCCTGACACTGTTTATTGTTGTCTCCTGACACTGTTTATTGTTGTCTCCTGACACTGTTTATTGTTGTCTCCTAACACTGTTTACTGTTATCTCCTGACACCGTTTACTGTTGTCTCCAGACACTGTTTATTGTTGTCTCCTGACACTGTTTACTGTTCTCTCCTGACACTGTTTACTGTTGTCTCCTGACACTGTTTATTGTTGTCTCCTGGCACTGTTTATTGTTGTCTCCTGACACTGTTTACTGTTGTCTCCTGACACTGTGTATCGTTGTCTCCTGACACTGTTTATTGTTGTCTCCTGACATTGTTTACTGTTATCTCCAGACACTGTTTACTGTTCTCTCCTGACACTGTTTACTGTTGTCTCCTGACACTGTGTATCGTTGTCTCCTGACACTGTTTATTGTTGTCTCCTGACACTGTTTACTGTTGTCTCCTGACACTGTGTATTGTTGTCTCCTGACACTGTTTATTGTTGTCTCCTTACACCGTTTACTGTTGTTCCCTGACACTGTTTACTGTTTACTGTTGTCTCCTGACACTGTTTACAGTTGTCTCCTGACACTGTTTATAGTTGTCTCCTGACACTGTGTATAGTTGTCTCCTGACACTGTTTATTGTTGTCTCCTGAGACTGTTCACTGTTGTCCCCTGACATTGTTTACTGTTTGCTGTTGTCTCCTGACACTGTTTATTGTTGTCTCCTGACACTGTTAATTTTTGTCCCCTGACACTGTTTACTGTTGTCTCCTGACATTGTTTATTGTTGTCTTCTGACACTGTGTATTGTTGTCCCCTGACACTTTGTATTGTTGTCTCCTGACACTGTTTATTGTTGTCCCCTGGCACTGTTTACTGTTGTCTCCTGACACTGTGTATTGTTGTCCCCTGACACTTTGTATTGTTGTCTCCTGACACTGTGTATTGTTGTCCCCTGACACTTTGTATTGTTGTCTCCTGACACTGTGTATTGTTGTCCCCTGACACTTTGTATTGTTGTCTCCTGACACTGGTTACTGTTGTCTTCTGACACTGTTTACTGTTGACTCCTGACATTGTTTATTGTTGTCTTCTGACACTGTGTATTGTTGTTCCCTGACACTGTGTATTGTTGTCTCCTGACACTGTTTATTGTTGTCTCCTGACACTGTTTATTGTTGTCTCCTGGCACTGTTTACTGTTGTCTCCTGACATTGTTTATTGTTGTCTCCTGACACTGTGTATTGTTGTCCCCTGACACTTTGTATTGTTGTCTCCTGACACTGGTTACTGTTGTCTTCTGACACTGTTTACTGTTGACTCCTGACATTGTTTATTGTTGTCTTCTGACACTGTGTATTGTTGTCCCCTGACACTGTGTATTGTTGTCTCCTGACACTGTTTATTGTTGTCTACTGACACTGTTTGCTGTTGTCTCCTGACACTGTTTATTGTTGTCTACTGACACAGTTTACTGTTGTCCCCTGACACTGTTTACTGTTGACTCCTGACACTGTTTACTGTTGTCCCCTGACACTGTGTATTGGTGTCTCCTGACACTGTTCATTGTTGCCTCCTGACACTGTGTATTGTTGTCCCCTGACACTGGTTACTGTTGTCTTCTGACACTGTTTACTGTTGACTCCTGACACTGTTTATTGTTGTCTCCTGACACTTTTTTGCTGCTGTTGTTTTTCTGCTGTTTTTTCTGCTGTCTACTGCTGTTTTGCTGCTGTTTGCTGTTGTTTGCTGTTGTTTGCTGCTGTTTGTTGCTGATTAATGCTGTCTTGCTGCTTTTGTTTGATGCTGTTTTGCTGCTGTTGTTGCTGCTGTTTTGCTGCTGTTTGCTGTTGTTGCTGCTGTTTTGCTGCTGTTGTTGCCGCTGTTTGCAGTTGTTGCTACTTTTTTGCTGCAGTTGTTGCTGCTGTTTTGCTGCTGTTGTTGCTGTTGTTTGCAGTTGTTGCTACTTTTTTGCTGCAGTTGTTGCTGCTGTTTTGCTGCTGTTGTTGCTGTTGTTTGCAGTTATTGCTACTTTTTTGCTGCTGTTTTGTTGCTGTTTGATGCTGTTTGATGTTGTTTCCCTGCTGTCTGCCGTTTTGCTGCTGTTGTTGCTGCTGTTTGCTCTTGTTTGATGCTGTTTTGCTGCTGTTGTTGCTGTTGTTTTGTTGCTGTTGTTGCTGCTGTTTTGCTGCTGTTTGTTGCTGTTGCTGCTGTTTTGCTGCCGTTTGCTGTTGTTCCTGCTGTTTTGCTGCTGTTTGCTGTTGTTGCTGCTGTTTTGCTGCTGTTGTTGCTGCTGTTTGCAGTTGTTGCTACTTTTCTGCTGCCGTTTTGCTGCTGTTGTTGCTGTTGTTGCTGCTGTTTGCAGTTGTTGCTACTTTTCTGCTGCCGTTTTGCTGCTGTTGTTGCTGTTGTTTGCAGTTGTTGCTACTTTGTTGCTGCTGTTTTATTGCTGTTTGATGCTGTTTCCCTGCTGTCTGCCGTTTTGCTGCTGTTGTTGCTGCTGTTTTGCTGCTGTTTGCTGTTGTTATTGCTGTTTCGCTGCTGTTTGCTGCTGTTGTTGCTGCTGTGTTGCTGCCGTTTGCTGTTTTGCTGCTGTTGTTTGATGCTGTTTTGCTGCTGTTGTTTGATGCTGTTTTGCTGCTGTTGCTGCTGTTGTTGCTGCTGTGTTGCTGCCGTTTGCTGTTTTGCTGCTGTTGTTGTTGTTTGATGCTGTTTTGCTGCTGTTGTTTGATGCTGTTTTGCTGCTGTTGTTGCTGCTGGGTTGCTGCCGTTTACTATTTTGATGCTGTTTTGCTGCTGTTTCGCTGCTGTTTCGCTGCTGTTTGCTGCTGTTGTTGCTGCTGTTGTTGCTGGTGTTTTGCTGCTGTTTCGCTGCTGTTTCGCTGCTGTTTGCTGTTGTTGCTGCTGTTTTGTTGCTGTTTGATGCTGTTTCCCTGCTGTCTGCCGTTTTGCTGCTGTTATTGCTGCTGTTTGGTGTTGTTTAATGCTGTTGTTGCTGCTGTTGTTGCTGCTGTATTGTTGCTGTTATAGCTTCTGTTTTGCTGCTGTTGTTGCTGCTGTTTCGCTGCTGTTTGCTGTTGTTGCTGCTGTTTTGCTGCTGTTTTGCTGCTTTTCTTGCTGCTGTTTTGCTGCTATTTTCTGTTTTGCTGTTTTTGTTGCTGCTGTTTCGCTGCTGTTTGCTGCTTTTGTTGCTGCTGTTTGCTGTTTTGCTGCCGTTGTTGTTGCTGTTTTGCTGCTGTTAACTGGTTTGCTGCTGTTTGCTGTTGTTTGATGCTGTTTTGCTGCTGTTGTTTGATGCTATTTTGCTGCTGTTGTTGCTGCTGTATTGTTGCTGTTATAGCTTCTGTTTTGCTGCTGTTTCGCTGCTGTTTGCTGCTGTTGTTGCTGCTGTTGTTGCTGGTGTTTTGCTGCTATTTGCTGTTTTGCTGCTGTTTGCTGCTGTTTTGCTGCTGTTTCGCTGCTGTTTGCTGTTGTTGCTGCTGTTTTGTTGCTGTTTGATGCTGTTTTCCTGCTGTCTGCCGTTTTGCTGCTGTTATTGCTGCTGTTTGTTGTTGTATAATGCTGTTGTTGCTGCTGTTGTTGCTGCTGTATTGTTGCTGTTATAGCTTCTGTTTTGCTGCTGTTGTTGCTGCTGTTTCGCTGCTGTTTGCTGTTGTTGCTGCTGTTTTGCTGCTGTTTTACTGCTGTTGTTGCTGCTATTTTGCTGTTGTTGCTGCTGTTGTTGCTGCTGTTTTGCTGCTGTTTTCTGTTTTGCTGTTGTTGTTGCTGCTGTTTTGCTGCTGTTGTTGCTGCCGTTGTTGCTGCTGTTGTTGCTGCTGTTTTGCTGCTGTTGTTGCTGCTGTTTTGCTGCTGTTTCGCTGCTGTCTGCTGTTTTGCTGCTGTTTTTCTGCTGTCTGCTGTTTTGCTGTTGTTTACTACAGATGTTCTCGACAAACTTTTCACTTTTTTACTACTAACAAAATTTTTTTCCCCTCGTTTTTGTTTTGCTTGGCAATACTTTTGAGATAAACGTGTTTGACCTCAAAATGTGTAATTTGAACTATTCCAGTATTCGGTGATTTTCTAATGATAGGTACGAGTCTTCCAGGTTGTTTACAATTGTCGCGAACATTAAGGCCGGGTGCGAAGAAAAGGAAAAAACGTCATTTCTACTATGTTGTCGAATTCTGTGTCTACAATGCCTGCCGCCGTTCGTTCTCTTTACAAATTTTACTTGAGGTGGAAGCTGAGAAAAAGATAAGACTGGATATCTGCGATAATGAGTATTCAGACGAGGAACGATTATTTGAATGTGTTAAATGGCGTTGATCGCGCTTGTTATGTTTACCAAAGGACGGATTCGTTTCTTAAACAGTCGTAGGGAAAATGCCGTTGAGGAAGCAAGAAGATTATCCGAGGACGATCCCAAGCACGTTTTAGGTTTTACGGGTCACTCTAGGTTGTTTGAGGGCATAAAAAAGAAGGTGAATATCAGACAGGTCGATAACAGATCGTTGATTGGCTGCCAAACCAGGATCACTACAGAGTTCGAAAACAAATGAGAAACAAAAATCCCTCGGGCCACAAGCCTTTAATCAGCGTTGACAACATGTGGGATGCAGATTTGGCCGACGTGCCTAACATCAAGGAGAATAACGACGGTGTGTGCTTTTTATTCGTCGTCATCGATCATTTTCCTGGTATGCTTGAGAAAAGTCTCTTAAAAACAAGAAAGTCAACACCGTTTTGGAAGCTTTTAATGAAGTATTTGCCGAAAGAAAATCAGAACTCGTCAGGTTACAGGACCTCAGTAGAAACAGTAGAAAACATTCGAGGCTGCGCGGTTTCGCCCCAAGGACGTAAACGAAGACACCCAATGCCTCATTTCCATCAGAAGAAGGACGAGAGGCCTTTGTAGAGAAGGCCGTACCAATTTAGGAAAGGAGATAAGGTGATATTGAGTTATAAGAAACGTCAGTTTCGTCGCGGATGGCAACAGAAGTGGACGAAGAAATATTCGTAGTTTCTTACAGGTATAAAGTCGGAGACTTCGACAACAAGCAAATACAGGGTTCTTTCCATGGTCAAGAATTGCAGAAAGTAAACAAAGATAAAGATGCGATCTGGAAGATAAAAGAAGTTTAAAAAAAAAAAGAAAAAAGAAATTCGATTCTTTGATAGATGCCTACGATGTGTCCCCGAAAACAAACAAAAATAAGAGGAATATCCTTACACCGTATTTACATCATGCCTCACGATCACCTCTGTCCGATTTGTTTTCAATCTTTCACGAGGAAATATTCTAAGACAGTACACACGACAAGATAACATGCGTCACGTAATATGCAGTGAAGAAAACATCCAAACGAAGATACGCACCTCCCCGACATTTCACCGCAAAGAAGTGTACCGATCGAAAAAAAACATTATCCTTTCAAAATCAGCGACGTACCCGAACACATATTGCCGATCCCGTCAGTCATTTGTACCTTGGATACGTCCTTTAACGTTCCTGATTTCGGGTCCTACCGGAAGCGGAAAGACTATGTTTGTTACAAAAATTCCTAGAAAACGTCCGAGAAATGATGAATCCCGTACCCGATCTTATCGTGTAGTGTTACGGAGAGTATCAGATTTCCTACGCGTTCATAGAAGGCGCCGACTTCCACAAAGGTTTACCTAGTATAGACCGTGTGGACGCTTCGCTCAAGCACTTGATAGTCATGGACGATCTGATTACGGAAGTGGATCCAAGCGTGACGTCCTTGTTTACGAAGAAGAGTCATCACGGAAACATCAGCGTGATGTACATCGTACAAAATCCATTTTTCGAACAGAAGTATCACTCGTAACGCCCATTACATCGTGCTAATGAAAACCCTAGAGACCCTTCGAAAATCATACGGTTGTCTCAACAGATGTTTTCGGGAGGAAGTACTTTTCTGCGAGAAGCTTACGACGACGCAACGTCTAAACCCCACGGCTATTTGCTGATAGACCTGCAACAAGACACTTACCCCGGCCATAGATTGCGCTCCGATATGTTTCACGGACAATATCAAAAGGTTTACCTCCCCTAAAAAGTCTATATAAGGTAGCCGCCTGTCGAGTTAAACATTCAACATGTAAAACGGCCCGCGAAAAGGTCGACAAAGGTCTAATTAATTGTCACTTCATAAAGTCGGTCTTTCTAAATTATTCAAGAGACTACCGTTGAAACAAAAGAAACGCATCGTCCAAAAGGTGGTTTCATTCAGGCACTAGTACCCCTAGTGTTACCGTTAGTGACCAAACTCTTGGGCGGATTGTTCAAAGGAATATGAGAAAGAAATCTTCGATAATGCAGGGATACTGTGAACGAGTGAGACCTAAACGTCGGTGCACTCGATCGTAAAATCCGTGGACAAATTAACGTCGATATGCCAAACATCTTAAATCGAGACGATCTTCCGTTAGACGTTGAAATGGTGTTATACAATCAGACTTTACAGGAGGACATGTCCAGATACCGGCAATACAGACATGACAGTGATAAACCTATATTGATGAATACCGTCCACTCGGTGGGTGTATCAGAGGGCAACGCGGAAACAACGGGAAAACCAAAGGACTCAATTCAGGAATCACCTTACAGAGTGTAGCGAAAACTTCACGTTCGAAAACGGAAATGTTGATGAATCGATTGAAATACGTCATCAGTTGGAACGAAAAGGAGGAATTCCGATACAAATGTCAATAGGTGATTCCGGGTTCGAATACGGTAGATTTTGTCGGTAATGCTTCGCGTAACAGATCTCTGAAACACGCCAGTCCCGAGGACACGAACACTTTCCTGACGGCTCTCAGAGACGTAAACATGTCCCAGAGTTGGATAATAAATCGTATATAGAACAGATGAGAGACGTTGCTTCCACACAAAATACTCCGGCAATTCCCGTTACGCAGCAAAGAATCCCGACGCATCTTCGAACGGAATCTCCAGTCATACAAGAGGATTAGAAAATATCGACAAGGACGTTGTGGAATGGAAAGACGACGATGGCGATGATGGCGAAACCGGTTACGGTACTGCCATTTCTTTCAAAACTCTCAAATTACAAAATTTAATGTCAACTTCCTGTCGACCGATATCTGAAATTTTCAGTTTTTTTTTTTCGGAAAATCTGGGCAAGACACAAACCTTCGTATTAACGTATCAACAGAAAAGCTTACCAAATGGACCAAAAAGTCTTTATATTGGAAAACAGAATAATACATTTAAAAAAATATGTAATGGAATGGCTTGTAACATTTATAATCTAAGTATTGACAATCAACAGGGGTCTTTGTGGGTTGCTCCGTTGATCAGCAGTATCGGCTGTCTATTGCCTAATCCCTCGATCACAAAGAAACACGATGTTTTACATAACCCTACCTTGTAACAGTTCAACGGAATATTTCCCCGATAATAGTTTGACCATTTACACTTCCCAGTTATCGCAAACTCAATACCTGAAAGGTTCTTGGGAAATCGGTTTAGCCGGAATTCAATATCCTCATTCTTGGTTTAACGTGAACGAAAGCGAATTGTGTTAAGAAATGATTGTCTTCGGCAGTGAAAACGTCGCTTCTGAGCTTCGATGAAACTGCACAAGAAAGCAGGTTATTATCCGACAGTGGAAAGCCTACTGGAATATCTGTAGGGAGCTAAAGGAATGGTATCGCACGGTGGCATGTTAAGTATCAATGTCGACGACGTCGACAGTGGAGTTAAGTTAACGATATCGGCTGGCTTACGCACCGTCAAGAACGAAAGATTATCGAAATTGTTAGGTTTCGAGAAAAGGAAATTTTCGGAAGGAAAACACTCAGGGAATTTCATGGCAGACGTCAGACAGGGATTCTATTCCATCAACTATATTGTCCGTAAGTAGAACCTCAAATGGTAGGTGACATGAAAGTCCCGCTGGTAAGAACAGTTTTCATAGAAGACAGACCAGGACGCGTCTTGAGCAAGGAATTTCATCCCATTCATTACGTAGCTCTCCATCAAAGACAACTTTAAGAAATTAACATAATGCTGATAGACGATAAAAATTCGAAAAAAAAAATTCAAAAATACAGAAATACTTTTTTTGGTGGCTACGAAAAAAACTAGTATCAAAGAAATGAAAGTAACTCACAACAGCGACGGAAGTCTATTCGACAGATATTACTTAAATCAGGCCGGAGGTGGAGCTGACGTTTTCAGAGGAGTTCGAATACAGCGAGGACACGGATAGGTTTTGGGCAAACAGGCATTAAGAACTGGCATGATTTGGCGGAAGATTTGTGAAGTGGTAAAGATATTAAAACGTTGACTAGAAAACGAGTTTCCGAAGCAAAACATCGACTCAAACGCAAAGTCTTGCAAAGTCTCGGACCACCGAGAAAAAGAATAAAAACGCCAGGGAAAACACGACAAAGGGATATTTCCGATGCATGATCCGGCAGCCAAAGAATCCCAGTTGACGGGAAGTGTGTGGTATAAAGACACGAATACGAAAATGGACTTTACCTGAGCCGAAAATCACCGTTACGTCAAAAGGAAATTACTAACAGCGACGAGCCAAACCCTCGAACTGATGGGCAGACTGTATTCAGATTTGTTCGTTCTTTAGAGATACTTAATCAGCAACGTAGACGTGATGATAACGTTAACCAGAAGTAAAGATTCGTTTTGTCTGATGGGGGAAGGTGACGGGTTAGAAGTGGTCATACAAGACATTTACCTGAACGTGAGGAAAGTTAAACCTGGTTCGTCAGTTAGATTGGCACATACGAAAGCGTTAGAATTGACGCCAGTCAAATACCCCATAACCAGAATCGAAATGAAAGCTACTTCCGTTCCGAGGGGGAACCTCGACTTCGTAAAAGATAATTTGTTCATAGGACAAATCCCCAAGAGGTTGGTCGTGGGCTGCTTAGACAGCGATGCCTACAGTGGTGTCGTTACAAAATCCATTCAATTTCAAACATTTTAAAATTAATTTCGTCGTCTTGAACGGGGATGGCAATCAGGTTCCGACAATGCCTTTACAACCTAATTTTACTACGAAACACTAGATAAGGATTTATTCAGCAGTACCGGCAAAATGTTCTACGACGAGGTTATAACGTCGCGAAGGAAGAATACGGCAACGACTATACTCTGTTTGGATTCGACCTGACGCCCGATCTTTCCGAATAAGTAACATTTCACCTTATACAGAGAGGAAATCTGTCTGGAAATTCATTTCGGTGAAGCCTTGATCCGAACCATCAACGTCATCGTGTATGCCGAATTAGACAACATCGTAGAAATCGACAGGAATCGACATGTCTTATTTGATTTCAATGTCTAAAAAATGAATCACCTATTTTAAAGGTGTCGATGCCAGGAACAGATTGCCTCGTGCATTAAAGTATATTAAATTAAAATACCGCTCAGGATACGAGGCAAGGTCAACGCTGGATTGTCGTATACATAGACGAAGAAAGAAGTGGAGAGTATTACGATCCGTCTGGAGTAACCCCTCTTTCACGACGCTTTAGTTAACTTTTTAAACAAACAGTATATAACGTAGACATAAAACACTATCCGAGTACAGCAACTCAACTCTCTAGTGTGTGGTCAGCACTGTATATTTTATTTGGTACACAGAGAAAGAGGTCAATGTATGACTTAACTGAAATTCTTGATAAAAGATGTCGATGCAAACAGCTATCTTGTAGATAGACCCGTCTGTCGAAATACGTACTCTACCATAGCCAAATACATCAATGACGTCGTCAAAACCAACCCGTCAGTCGAATAACTTAGGATGGCACACCTGAAACACGGCAAGCAGAACAGGGGAGA